ACTTTGACACAAACCAAGTTATAGATAACTTCAATCCCTCTCACATATTGGCAGGTCCAGCACGTGCGACTGTGTTGGGATGCTGATGAAGCCGGTTCAAGGGCAGCAAAACTCAAGTTGCGACTATATTCGCAGCCTATGAGGCGGCTATCTGCTGGTGCACATGTTTCGAGGGTGAAGACTCCAAGAATACCGGAAAATTTAGAAGACACTTACAAAAACAGGGGCAAGGCACTGTGGGACCGCTGAACTGACAAACATAGGCCAACTGATGGTAAGAGATGGATTGACATTTCAACATGCAGAGGAGGGCAGGTTTTACTTGTCGGTAACAAAAGCCTTCGACCTCAGGATTACCACGTAGACCATTATGTTATGTCTTCTCACCCCCCCCCCTTGGCTGACATTTCAGTCATGCACTCTCCCCCGCCAGGACTCACTTGTCCACCCCCAACTTTAGGCGGTCAAGTGGATGCATAGTGAATACTAGAGATTTCGTCGCGGTTGTGTCCAAGGTCGACGGACGGACAACGAATGAGCAGTACTGATTTGGAAGCCACAGTGGAAACCGAAAGGGTGCTTAGTAGGCCAAATTCTCGAATGGCTACCCAACAACGATCTTTAGAACACTGAAGAAGTGCTTGGACCAGAAATGAGGAAAGTTAACGATTAATGTAAAATAATTACTGCATGCCAATTGTCAACTGAGTTAGACGTCAAGAATCAGGAAAAAATGTTATGGGCGATGTCGGTAGGAACAAGCAAAAATCAAATAAAACTCTTGGGTGGAAAGAGGACAATAGCCCCATGGTTACTGATTAGGAATGGAGGGAGGTGATGCCAAGACTCCTTCTTGCTTTGAAAACAGTGGTGCCGCCACTGGCCAGAAGTGAAAAATGTAAAACGTGGTATATATGTTTCATTGACAGGGGTCTGAACGACGGGCATACGAAGGCTAACGTTGAGCCCAACCAGTCCAAATGTATCTGTTTTCAGCCCTGCATTCTAAATTTCAGAAAGGCCATCTAATACACAGCAAGGGAAATTTGCGTTGACCCCGGAGACCGACCTGAGACAATGATGCCCCGAGTGATCATACAATTGAAGAGAGGATTGTAGTAGCGAGGTCTTAACCACGGGTTCGTTTTTGCCGCCCAAATCTAAAGCGAGTTCCAAACTAAGGGAACACCTACATAATTAATGAAGTGAGAATAATGTGCGCTGATACAGAGACGTGCGCACTCTCGAGACGTTTCCTTTTGCTCAGTACGCTTAGGGCAAAATAACCCTACAGATAACTGACCTGGCGACCGACCGCCAAATTATTAAATCGCTGTGAAGACTTTCCCACAGCCTCGAAACTCCTCTACCACCTCCTCTGAAAGAAAGGACTAATCGAGGGTAAGTGGACGGTGCCAGTGGAGAAACTGCACGTCCTTATCCTTCGGCACAGAGGATCCATTCGAATGTCATTAGGAAACCGCAGATGGACACAAGATTGCCCTCGGAGATATACTGCTAATTTTTTACACTATCGGTTGAACATGCGACCTCCAACAGCATTCTAGATATAAAATACCATTTTGCAAATGCTTGTGTTATGGCAGGAAAACATATACGTCTGAATTAGTAAGCCAGTCTTTCAGCAATCAGAGCACGAATCTAGGCGCGTCATAGGTCGATCAACGAACCCTTTGCACCCATGTGTTCCACATACAACATGAATAACCGAGATCGACTCTGTCTAAATCACGGTTAAAAGAGCTCCATTTAAAGGGTATAGTGATGTGCATACCTTTGGCTTGAAGACAGACATGGCGAAGTCTGTGGTCTTACGTCAGTCGGCAAAAGATTACGGCCGAACCTCTTTGGTAACGGATCAAGGTGAGCTCCATGCTTTACTTGTCCGAATGGATATTTCTGTTTGGAGAGAAAGTTCACAGATTATTGACAGGAAACGTCTGTGAAAAATAAGTGGGCATGGCTTATAGGAAAAGGCAACTTTCACCAAGGCTCAATCGCTTAATTATATGTTGCATATATATAACTTAACTCCGCAAGAGATGTTACTCAAAGAATCTGCCGCTTTGTTGCCCTGACTGATTCTCATCCCAAAATGTAAACAGAGACTCCAGCCCCTCTAATTCAGACACATTTTCGTGATTAGGCAGGGCAGTGTAGTGCTAACATAGTAGTAATGACGTGGCATCT